CTTCCTCTCCCCCCCCCCCCGCCCTTTTGTCTCATCCTCCTGTCCGGATTGATCCATCGTGTCTGCCAACCTCGCGCAATTATTATCACGGGAATGGGACCGGTGTAGAGAGTTTCAGATGACCGCAGGATGTCCGACCAAAGCGCTACGAATATACTGGAATAATATGAGAGAACAATCCGATATTTCTATTGTATCGCTGCACGACTCCCGGGATCATCGTTTTGTTTTCAGAATAAATTATTACGTGCCATGGGAGATAGCTCGCATGGATTTTTCACATAGACGAATTTTTTCCTTTTTTAAACCAAGTCAAGTGGGTTGTGCATTAAAATATTTTGGAGAAATTGCTTTGTTCACTGTAAAAACAGGTGTTTGAGTGGAGAAATTGGCCTCGTCTCTAGGACAACTCAAAAATTTTTTGACGAAAGTATTCTTTCTCACACAGAGAGAAATTTTGTTAAAAAATTCTAGCATGAGTACTAAAAAAAATCAAAATCCACCGGTTGTGAAAAATTCTAGTGCTGTTGAGGTAAAATTTCTCAGGATTTCTGGTAAAATTTCGGGGATTTTTGTGAAATTTTCACAGAAATACCGGGAAAAATTCACGTTTTCCCAAATAAAATTTCCAGTTCCAGCACTGGATTTTTTCCCTGGCCGTCACTTTGCGCCTCTTTTACCGTGCTAGTACTAGAATTTTTCTGAAAAATTTCTCTCCGTGCAGCATAAGATATTTTGCTCTTGAAAATTTTGGAGCTGTGAGTTTCTCTACAGAGAGAAAATTATTTGGTGAATTTCAATAACTAGTTGGTGAATTTCAGCAACTATTTCGGTAAAACTTGACAACTAATTAATTAATTTCAAATTCTTAATTTAATTCTTAATTTAAATTTGAATGCGAATAAACACGTACTTCTCAAAAAACTTTCTTCTTCTCACTGCAGAGGAAATTTGTCACCGTTTAGCCATCAGTGTAAGTCGTAAAATATTCCAGCATCAGGGCGGGGATTTTCTCTTTTATTTTCATGAGCATTTTTTCATGCATTTTGTCCAACGAGCTCAGCAGCGATTTTCCCCGGGTGAGACAAGTACACCCAATGGGGCTTAAGTGCACGGGAGAGTTACCAGCGTGGTTTAACTAGTAAAAAGTTGCCCGCTTGGGGGGGGACGAGATCTCTAAAATTATGACGCGTTCATAAACCGAGTGGGCACTAATGAAGTAACTAGTGGCCACTAAAAAACAAATTCCGTAGACTTGGAGGAATGCCGAGTAATTAATGGGTGTTGGATTGAATGTGCTGGAGGAAGCGATGGTGAAGAATACTGAAAATCAATGGACATGTCCCTGAAAATCGAGACTTTTTTTTCTCCGTGTACGTTTTACGAGTTTATCATATAATGGAACAACTTAGTTGACAGTTAGTAGAGCCACGTGCTGGTAAACAGTGATCGCGGATTACCACAACTCCTGATAGCTGTGCGGCGACATTTATCGACGTAATAAACTCCATCGGGTGTGAGAGTGCACTAACGTGATGCACGTATAGATGCCAGGGAAGATGGGAGACCCAGTGCAATACTACCAGAGTCCTGTTTCCGGTTTTCTCAGGGTCAGGAGAAAACCCTGAGGCAATCACCGAAATATTGAGTGACGAAACAGAACAACTGAGATTGAATTAATTCCCTCCGTAATTTTTCCATCGTCGGAAATCATCGCCGTACGTCTAAAAGCTCCCGACTTTTATGGCCCCATATTTCACATTCCAAATGAAAAGGTTTTCACCCGTATTACACTGATTAATGTCGCGAATACACATGCACATAAATTGAACATTCGATCCATACGATAATCTGATCAGGGCCATAAGCACGCCCACCCCCATTCTCATGGACATAAACCACACACACAAAACATGTAATTAAAAAACCGATCACGCATGGTTGCTTGTATTTCCGTTATCATTTTCATAATGCAATTTGCTAATATTGATAGCAACCAGTTGCAAATTTTGCATATCCCCAATTCACTATTTAATGTGTTACTTTTTTTCAGAATGGGAGCATTCAAATATTACGTAAGCATAGGTGGAGGAAGGGGGGAGGGTTTAGTCCATGATCACCTCCATTTCTCAGGATTTTGAGAAAACTAAAGGAGGTAGCGTCCCGGATGCAAATGAGAATGCTCAGAGGTCGCTTCTGCTGTAAAATCCACACTAATTTTTAACTCAATTAATTTATCATCAATTTTAGTTTTGTGGGGAACTCCCCACAACTAGAGGAGCTAGCGTTCTCAATCCAATTGCATTTAATTCCTAAAATCCACATTAACTCGTAGCTAATATGAAAGAACGAAATAATAAGCAAAAATTATGATGACATTTCTATTAATGATCGTACTATGGCATGAACCAAGAGCAGAAGAGTAAAATAACCATAAAAAACAGGAATGCATTCAGAAGCAAATTGCTAATTTATTGGCAACACTTCGGAAAAAATAGAATTATCCACGTTTTTCTAATTTTAAAAATAATTTCCAGATTTTTTTTATCACATTTGAAAATGTTATAATATTTAGGTAATAAAATCTGTATTTATATTGAGGAAACGTTAGTTTGTATATGAAAAATATTCATTTGACGTGAATAAAACCGCAAATAAAGCATTTCTCTTCACGCATTATGTTCCCCGAAAATTCCAGAAAAGCGTAAACCACTCGCACAAAACACCTGATCAAACCCCCAATCACAAACGATTCCTCCAATTTCCATTATAATTCTCATAACGCAATTTCGGAATATTGATACCAACCAGTTGCAGATTTACCACACTCCCGATTTCCCATCTCCCACGTTCTTTTATTTTCCCGAGTATCTGACAGAGTTTGTGGTCCCGGTTCAGGGAAAATTTGATTTCTATCAACTCCCAGTGCCAACTCATGCCTCACCGAGTTGTGGCGTTCCCCCAGGAGGATACGGAGGGTTAACACTCTCGTCGGGGGGTGGGCAAAGTGGAGTGAGGAAACACAATGTGTTCATGCACGCGTACCTCACGACGGGGCATTACAATTTGCAGGTACTATTAGTACCTAGATGGTGATGGCATTAGTTAGATTCTTCGCGTCGGAGGTGTATGGTAATGGTGCTTGAAAATGAAATTAACACCGATGGCATTGCCAGCCGAGAGAGGTGCACCGATCGATGATGATAAGGGGCAAGGGGTAGGGGAAGGGCCTAGTGACAATGTAGGTTGCCTCCATGCTTTTATATTATAGTGATTTTCAGCGCTGCAACGACAGATACTAGAGTGCCGACACAGCACAATTTATCATACCGAGGAGTCGTTAGAGTGTCCCCCGCAAACAATTTAATGGTTTTTTTTCTCACTCGTTCATCAGAATACTCGTTGAGGAGTAAATAAAAAGGGGAATGAGAGATTTGCTGTCCGTTTGTTTCCATTTATTCTTCCTTCCGGTGAATTCAGAATGTAATTTCCTAGGGAATGAAAGGTTCACGATTCTCATCACTCTTTTTCTCTGTTTTTTTAATTACAGGAGTGGACGGACTACAATCTCCAGTGGAACGAGAGTGACTACGGCGGGGTGAAGGACCTCAGGATAACGCCGAATAAGTTGTGGAAGCCTGACGTTCTCATGTACAACAGGTAACTCGCTCTTCAATTAATCATCCGGTCGAATCACTCGGTCTTGTCAATCCTCGAACTCCTAGCTGACAGCTTCTGTTATCATCTTACAAAACAAATTCAGTTGTTCTTTTTTTATACTTTTAACCAATGGCAAATCGAGTTTACTCACTCTGGAATTAAATTCTGAAAATTAACGCAGTGCGAAACAACGACGCGAAAAGGGTTTAACGTTTTTCATTGTAACAGATTACACGGAATTTACTGTTCCGTAATCCACTAACTTTCGTTCGTGCGAATCCAGTTAGTAAATTCCCTCGTATTTCGATTGAATCTGGATGAATATTAGTTGTTCAGGGGATTCTTTGATCCTCTGGCTGTTGTGAAAATTGTTAAAAGACCGTAAACTATTTGCCAAATCAATAGATCAAGCCTGAATTGAAAGTTCATAATGCGGAAAATTGAAAAAACCCAAGCAATAGTTCACGTGATCCTTAATGATGTCCCTCGAGAGTAAATAGAGCCGTCATTAATTCAGATAAACCACAGTCGTGTGCACGAGTGGAAACGGTCAATGCTTGTGAATAAAATTCCTCTAGAATTTCAAGCACTTTGATAAAGCAATAAAACCAAAATAGTTTACCAAAGATTCAGAATGTTTCAGAAGCCAGCAAAGTAACTCCATCTCCACGCTAGTTTCAGGCGCCGAGAGAGAATGAACTAATAATATTAAATTTAAATAGCTACTCTTATACTCTATATGAATAATCTATCCTCTCCTCTACTTGTTTCGAAAGAAAGTAGTTCGAATTATTTTGAAAAGTAATTAACCGATTGCGATATAGTAATGAAGTTTAAAACGGTACGTAAAAAATTTTCCAGTGTTGCTTCGCATCTTATCCTAAAAGTAATATTCGAGTAACTCAGATGTGCATGCGTTACAAACCCTCTAATAGATAACTGAACCAACAAGTAACTAATTCTCTTAATTACAGTATCTCGTAATTGTACTATTTCATTGATAATTTGCTTATTATTCCTGTAAATAACTGCCCAAACGTAATTATAGTGATGATACTAATTCTTTCGTAGATTTATTACATTGATAATATTTTCCGACGAGAGTCTCCTGTCGCGCTGTCTCATGCATCGGATCAGCAATTTTTCTCACTCCATCATCATCACAGATGACGATAGCCGAGTAAGAAGTTGGAAGTAGCTTTTAAGATAGGGAATGAGTCACTGAGGCGAACCAGTGGACTCACTACAGATCCAGTAGACGTTCATGCGGCTGAAAATGGCGAGACGTGACAGGAGACTCTTGTCCCCCCAAAGCTCGTGACTTGAATCTAGAGCGCATTGTATAAAGTAACGCAAAAGTTTTCTCCGAAGTAACAATGACCCAATTACTCCAGCCACTGGCAATCACGAATTTTTCCCACTAACCGAAGGGGAAGAAACTGCCCACGTCGATCAGTGAAATTTAATCGATAGGATTGAAAGTAAAAAGCGTGGGCTGGGTGAATTGAGTGGGTCATTGTCGCTTCAATATTTTTTCTAGGGAATCTCTTGACTGACTAATATCCTAGATTAAAATTTTATTTTAAAAAATACAATAATATCACATCGACTGCGACGAGGGTTGCAGGGAGAGAGAGCTCGTCTCTTCCTCCGATCTTCGCGGGTTGATCTCATAATTATGCATCTGTACTCGTGACACTCGAATCGCTTCTGAATGACATTCACCGGACTATCCGCGATACTTTACTAGATGATACCTGTTTCGACTGAATTCATAGAAATTTCCTGCATTTTATCAAATGTATTTTCTGGGCCAAACTCTTGCCAGCTGAAGGGATCGAGGAGGAATAATACTGAATGTTGAAATGTTTCACGTCTGTTCTCAACTCTCCGACAATCATGCTCTACTTCTACGTCTGCCTGGAACCCACTAGTGTGAACTGTCGGCGAAGCCGTATATAGTTAGCAATCACGTAGCAATTAGAGAATGCCAATGAAATCTTGATCATTAGTGATCCCGAGGCAAGCAGCTGATTGTGAATGTCCGATGGTACTGGAGTTTACAGTTGATTTAATCAAACCCGTTATGTAGAAATCACGGGAATAGTATTCCCGGGTGGTACAAAATAGCCATTTCATGTACGTGACCCCGTAATACACTCGGAGGTTGTGTCGATATGAATGCAAACGGGGGAGGAGGTCACGGGGTTTCACTGTCTAATGTCACCACTCGAGTCCAATTACAGGGGGCTTCCGGCACGCCTTTGAGCCTTTGACTTGACGCATCAACTTTTAACAGTTCTGGTTGTGGGCTCGTCGCGCTTTGATTCGTCTCTGCATTCGAAATAACTGGACCGATAGAAGAGTTTATTTACTAGCGATTTTTTTATTGGGAGGAGGGCAATTTTTTAGGGTCCATGAGTAGCAGAAGTCGGGGCTGTTTATTTGGCTTCACGTTCACCTCAGGCAACTGGATTATTCGGCAAGTTTTGACGGATATTCAGTTGGTTGTATATGACGATGCCATTTGTTAGAAGTTAGCAAGGTTTTTGGTGGTAAATAAATCCTTCTGTCGGTGTAGAATGTGATGGAAGATATTCTTGAATTAATATTTTGGTGAATATTTGGAAAACGTGAGAATTTTCTCAATTTTTTTTAACGTAATCTTGAGGCTTTTCTTAAATTGGGCAGAAAACCTCTAATTTTCTCGATTTTTCCAGAAAACCCGAGCGTTTTCTCAACATTTTTAAGAAGACTCAAGGATTCTCTCAAATTTTTCGGAAAAATTTTCAGGGATTTCCTCAAATAAATTTGAAAAAGTCCGAAAATTCATAGAAACCAAAAAATTATCATCTTTGTCTAAAAAACTCGAGCACTATCTTCAATTTTTATATAATGCGAGAATCTTCCAGAATATCTCGTGAGATTGTAGAAATTTTCTGAAGACACGACTAATTTTTGGAATTCTAGAATGAACTCGAACAAGAATTCCTCAAAACTCTGAAAAACTGCTTAAAATTTATATTATTTTTGTAAAAAACTTTTTACTTTAAAAAAAAATCGAGAAATTTTTGAAAATTTGTACATTATAAAACTGGATGACCTCGTCCCCCAATTTCTCCAAAACACATTCAGTAAAATGCTAGAAAGCTCTCGAGCATTCTCCGAACTTCCTAAATTTGCATACCCCACTACACAGCTCGAAAAAGCCGCTTCCTAGGATCAAGTCCATTCATGTCCCAATCTTCTCCTCGACTGATACCGCACTAAGGCTTAGAAGATTGAGGCAAATTGGACCATTCCTCCGACAAGAATGTATAGTTTTCCGAGTAACTCACCTGATTCAATTACAATCAATGATCAAGCTTGTGAAAATCCACACTCTCGATCGTTGATTCCGGCATTCTCGAATGCCAGATTTACCTCAAATCTTTGGAGGGAGGTTAGTGACATGAATTTTTTGCGCCTAGAAAATCCTTTCTTCTCTCAGTGTAGCCATTCTCCATCATTTTCCCCTCCCTGTTGCTCTCCATATTTATCATCCATCAAATCCCCAAATTACAACACAATGCCCCATCCCGCTCGGCCACAATTACGAAAATTACCTTTTGCACACACTGTAGTTTGCATTTCAAGTGCAATTGTCCACGAGTAAGATAGTAGGTTCGTTGCGTTGCACTGTACCTCCAGCCTGGCACTTCTGTTGTCCAACAAGCTGGCCAACTTGGCACGGGTAAAAGGCCAACTCAACAGCACACCAACAAGAGAGAATATAGTCCATCTCCTTCTGGTACACGCTCGACTGGCTCACCCACTTATGCTGTACCACCTTTTCCCGTCCACCAATTCTCTGTCTCTGTCCTTTGAGACACTCACACCCTCGTTCGCCCAAACTCCGCGAGAGATCGCCTCCAATTAATTAGAATTCGTCGAGAGGAAGTTCCACCTGAATCTGTGGCCATACAATGATTTATCCGACCTGTGGGACCTCCGAATGAATGAGAGGGTTCAAGGTGGCTCGAGTACACTGAATAACCCTGCACATGTCTCTTACCTGAATTATATTGCTCGATGTGGCCATGCGGGAGAAATCAATCTACTAATTCACCAGTTTTGGACTGAGAAAACCTCCAATAAAATTTTTATGCCCCTGAAATTTTCAGACCATGCGAACTTCTTAATGCACTAGAGGAATAAAAATATTCAGGAAATGGACTTGTAAAATCGATTAATTCTATTCGCGAGAGTAAGGGAATTTTTCATCACTTTTAGATGACTACACAGAGGAAAAGTTTCTAGTTTTTACGGCAACAATGAAAATTGTTCCAATTTCAGATTAAAAACTTCTAAAATTGAGCACCAAAAACCTATTTCATGTGCACCTACAGAAGTGGTTGATTTCAAGTGAATAAACTTTATTTGAATTCTAAACGAGTTTATTCGAATTTTTATTCACATCGAATAATTTTTTTTTCATATAAACAAAGGAAGACTTAGCGAGAAAAGATGTATTAACATGTAATAATTCTGTATTTGGATCAAATTAATTGTTTATTCTGATCAAGGATTCATTTGTAACGCATGAATGATTTATTTCATTTCATTTACATTTTTATTGAGATGAATATTGGAGTTTATTCAAAAATATTGCTGAAGTGAATAGAAGAATTTCAAATGGAGGGTTCAATTTTATTCAAATAGGTCTTTTTTCTGGGTGTATTTTCAAAGATACTTGAAGTATGAGTGGATTTATTTTCATAACAATAAAAATCATAAATTTAAGAACGATAATATTTGTTATTAAAAATCGAAATTCCACATATTTCCTGGATTTTTTGCTCGCTATATTCTATCCAAATGAATTTCTGAAATAAAGATTATTTTTACTGGAAACTAGAAACTTTATTATCTCTGAGTAATGAATTAACCAAAATCAGATTCCCTCCACCCCTCAAAAATGTAGCTTCTATGAAAACAAAACAACCGCTCGAATGTGATAT